TAATTTAAACAAAAAATAATTTGATCAGGTATATGCGTGTGTGCGCGCGCGCGCGTGTGTGTGCGTGTACTTATACGGTTATTCTGTAATGTAAAAATACAGAATACTTTATAATAGCGGTTTTTGGCAAGTTTATTTATTTGTTAAGCTATTTATTTTATTTATTAACTTTCTGCGTGCATAATTTTGCGTGTTGTTCTAACTTTGTCATTAATCCTCTCTATCTGAATCAGTTGCTATGGTTAATGATTGATTGATTAATTGGCGTTAATCGCAGTTGCTATGGGTTAATACTTAATTAATTGATTAATTAATTGGTGTTAATAGCAGTTGCTATGGGTTAATACTTAATTGATTGATTAATTGGTGTTAATCGATTAATTAATTGGTGTTAATTGATTACTTCCTTAATAGCAGTAGCAACAGTTGATTTATATGTATCTCGTTCTAGTATTTTTCATTAAGAATTACTATTACTTGGCAATGTTTAGACTAGTGAGAAAAAGATCTTTTCAAGTAATTTGATAAATAATTGTAAAGAATAACAATGATGATTGTCATTCATGGTAGTAGTAGTAGTAGTAGCAGAAGTAGTTGGTAGTAGTAGTAGTGGTTAGTATTTATATATTCCTATACTGTTGTTATATATAAATTAATAACACTTGCCTTTTCAATGTTCATCAATTTGTGAGACGTGAAATGATCAAGCTTATATATATATTTATATATATACATATACTGTATAGGAACTGTAACCCATATATACATATATATATATATGAACTAAAACATATACGTATTTTATATATATATACACATACATACACTTTATATATATATATAGGCTTATACACACACACACACACACAATCATCTAATATATACATTAGTTGATATGGTAAAGCTTATTACATAATATAATAGATATATATATATAGTCTATCAGTTACTCGCCAACCAATCAGTTTGAATTAACCTTTGATTGACAAGTTTCCTTATATATATATATCTATATGTTTATAAATTATATATTTATTGATTATTTATGGATAGATAGACATTGATTGATATACATATATCTTTTAAGTATTTCGACTACTATAACTATGTCTGTAAACTATAGCATGTATATCTGTAATTTCAGCCATAATTACTAAGTACGATTATTATTGCTAGGTATTTCTACCTAACACTGAATGAAAGCTGCACCGTGTGTACAACGTACATGTACAATGGGTCATCTTTTATTCATTCGTTCATTTCATCTAAGTGTTTAGTTGTTTAAAATTGACAATTTATAATAATGACAATATTTACGATTTAAATGAAATAAAATAAATAATAATAGAGATAATATTGAAGATAATTGACACAAAATAAAATGAAGGTGAGAAAAAAAAAGACAAAACTTTATATTATGATTGGCTACAAAACAACCAATCAAACACGTCCACACACACACGAACACACACACGCATAAATAAACAAATGAAATCAAAGTTACAAAAATTCTAGCTATTTCAGCTTCACTATCGCGAAAACCACCCTTGCCAAAAAATACATTTATATATTTGATTAGTGTCAGCATTACAAAGCACACACACACACACATATATATACATATATATATATATATATAGAGAGAGAGAGAGAGATGGAATAAAAGAGACTAAGAGAAAGATTTGAAAGAGGTTTTATTTCACAAGCATTTTAAAAAATTCTCGATTTTTATATAAAAATGTCATATCAGATAACATTGTTATTATTAATTAATTAGTTAATTAATAATACTGGTCTTAAATATTTATGGTAATAATAAATAACGATAAGAATTATATTATATTATAATAGAATACGTAATAACAATAGCTAGACAAAAATTTTAAAAATATGAAAAAATTACACAAATATTTTATCCTACTCACGCTACCTCCAAATACGTAGACAACGATGCTGGTCATAGTTATATATATATATATATATATATATATAATTATACACCACATAGTTACATAAACATGTATTGACTAGAGAAATAGCAAACTTTATGTATACATGCGTACACACACACACACACACACACACACACGTATATAACTTGCATTATTCGTCATCTTTTAAGAAAAAAAACACGTATATATATATATATATATCTACAAGAAGACTAATAAAAAGTTATGATGATTTTTTGACTAACGAATAATAACGAGAATTTTATTTAAAGAACAAAACTGTTTATTTGTTTCGTCATCATGATATGAAAAAAAAAATAAAATGATACTCGAGCTTATATCAAAAAGTGATGAAAATAAATTTTTTTTTATTGACCTTGTCATTAACTCGGGGTTGAAAATAGAGGGAGAAACGCAAATATTATAATAATATTAATAACAATTTTTAATATTTTTCATTTATATTGATTTATTTATTCACTCATATACCTCTATTCTAACGCTACAACACACAATATGAACGCGAGCGAGCGAACAGCTACTACCGTTAAATGCATATATTTGAAATAATAATAGTGATGACTAAGATAAATAAAAAAAAATCTATAGCAATAATTAACAATATAAAGCGTTTAATTGAAATAAAGTTATGATAAGCAATAGATTAAGGACAAGTAGAACAATGAGATGGAGGATTGAGTAAAACGAGAAAGAGAAAGAGAGAGAAAGAGAGAGAAAGAAAGAGAGTGAGATAAGAAAGAGTGTTTTCATAACATAGCGAAAAGTATTATACGTATCGATAGTTTCTTAGTTAAGAAGTATGATGAAAAACACAATAACAATAATAATAAACAATAATTATAATAGCAAAAATAAAAAAACAATGATTTATTTTCTAAAAAATTAGCGTAAAACCGACATCAAAGAGCTTTCTGTCTTCAGGTTCCTCTTTAAAGAGAGAGTAAAAAGCACGCACGTTTGTATGTGTGTTTAGGTTCAATGCACATTCATTAACACGCACAAAAAAACACACGTACACATAAATGTACACATCCATATACACACAAACATCTAAACATATCCACACACACACACAGACAGACACATATATATATGTATATAAATACAAAATAATACATACAATTAATTACTACATCTATATACATTTGTTTCTCCGTGTATATCTGAAAATTATAAGCAGATTTTGATCTATAGTATAATATGTATATAAATATATTCTTGTTGTAATATGGGTACATTAATACACACACACACACACACACATATATATATATATATCATTATCTTTAAATACAACATATGCATATCATTCAAAACTCATTTAAAACTCTGATTCAACGATAACTATTAAAAAAAAATGAAATAGAATAAAATGAGATGTTTTTCAAAAAATAGTATATACATACATATAGACATACATACAAACAAACAAATGTATGTATATTGTATACACATATAACGCACACTTACATACGCAGATAAACATGTATATATAAATATACATACACACACATACATACAGACATTTAGTGGTTAAAAAAACAGTAATTACCTGAAGAAACCTCATGGAAATAAACAACTCATTCACTAAAATTAAAGTTTAAAAAGCGTTTGCTTATGCTTATGCATGTATGTGTGTATATATGTATGTATGTGTGTGTATGTATGTATATATGTATGTGTATGTATATATGCATGCATTCAAAAGCAGAAAAGCTTAAATACTTTTATTTAAAATAACATTGCAAATTTTGTTTATTATTATTATTATTATTATCAATCACTCCAATACCATTCCTCTCCATTATTTCAATTTACCATAAGAATTATTGAACTTTGATGTTTTTGTCATTGTAGCTGCTGAAAGTAGTAGCAGTAGCGGCAGCAGCAGCAGCAGTAGTTGTTGTCGTTCGTTGCTGAAACTTTAAATTCACTTCTTCGAGAAATAAGCTTGGAAGGCTGTGAATGATATAATGTATGTGTGTAGGTATATATGTGTGTGTGCATATGTATGTATGTGTATATATGTATGTGTGTATGTTTGTTTATTCAAATAGTTTAGTCTGAGAGTTGTTATTTTTCCCTGACAGAGATTTGTGGGAAAATACTGTAACCATTATTTATTTCATTTCAACACACATTTAAGATCTTACACTGAGTGCATTCCATGGTCGTCATCATCATTATCATCATCTTTATCATCCATTTTATCACCATTATTATCAGTACATCACCATTATTATCAGCACATCACCATCGAAGCATCAACCATCATCTGCAAGATTTTTCTTCATCATTCTTTCATCATTACAAAATGATACTCACCATCTATCATCACTACAAAATGATACTCACCATCTAAGATCTCCATCTTAGCTTTATTAATTTCCTTCCTAACTTCACTTAGAATTTCCTGCCTCAAGACCTCCATGTCCCCGACACCACAACTCGAATCAGTCGCGGCTGACGACGATTGATGGCTGTTAGTCACACCGCCTAAACTGAACGTCTCCTGACCAGTTAGTGACTGGTACCTTTTGCTGCTTTATTGTTAAGGCATATGACACTGTAATGACCATACCATAGATAAAAATAATGACCAAAATATTAATTATAAGTTCATTTGCAGAGTTATTCTCGATTCAAAATATTCGACCAATCCAAATATGCATGAGCAAATTCTAATTCTAAACTAACTTTCGGCATATTCTAGGCGACTCGTAGCCATTAGACTTGCCCGCAGATTTCAGGACACCATTCAGAGGACCAGTTGATGAGGCAGATAGTGATGTGTTGTTGTCGACATTGTTGCCACTCGTGTTCAGATGTTTGTTGCTCGTTGCTGAGTCGATTGAGGTTGATGAAGTCGTTGACGTGTTGTGGTTGTTGTTGGCAATCGTTGTGTTTATTGTTAAATCTGTTGTGTCCTGTCGTTGCATGAGAAATGTGTTTAATTAATGAAGAAACTTATCGTTAAGACACAACCTGCCACATAAGAAAATGTACATATATATACGAGAGTGCACGCGCACGCACACACACACACACACACACAGGCTAACATTGGTTCCTTCTGCCTTGGCTCTCCTCTCCTTCAGTTTCCTGGCCATCTCAGACATGACATTCTCAGAGCCCTTGATCATGGCGACTGTGATGCTCGATCTGCCTACTGTGCCCGTGGCCGCTGCATAATTCATACCTGCCTGCTCCAAACTGCTGCTGTCATCTGTTGACTGGGGAGTGTTCTGATGGATGAATGGATGGGCAAATTTGATTGATTGCATACTCATTTTATCATTCGTTTATTTGTTTATTCATTCACTCATCCATAGTTTCATAAATCCATCCTATGAACAAACAAGCTAATCAACCTGATTATTTTTAGACACACTTCTTAACTGAGCAGACTTGAGGGCAGAAGCCAGACTGTTGACAGCAACGGGTGATGAGGCAGGTTTGGGAGTTCTTTGGACCCCCTCAGACGGCAAAGGGGGTGGCGGAGGGGCACACGGGGCAGCTGGAGGGGGTGGCGGAGGAGGAGGTGCCGGAGGAACAACAGCTGACGAGGCTATTGGTGGCGCAACAGGTGGAGACTGAGACAAGATTGCAGCAGTTGAGAGACCAGTAGCAGGTAGGGTGGCATAATTTTTGGGCAGAGTTTGAGGAGGCATCTGTTGTTGTTGAGATGAAGGAAAACTGTTGGAACTGTTGTTGGTGCTGCAGTTGATGGCGTTGTTCGGGCGTGGTAGGCTGGCAGCTTCGTATGGGTGACTGTAGAGGGCATCTGTGGTTAAAAAATGGTTGTGCCACATTTCACACGTTTCTATCTAAATATTGCTAGGAGACATTGGAGATTAGAATAGTAAATTATTATAAAATTAATTGATAAAAAAGTTGAGAATGTTGAAAATAACTTTCACCTGTGCTACTACGCAGGTCAGACTTTGCATGGCTTGGCGAAGACATCTGAAGACTGAAAGATAACACAATTTCATCAATTACTCAATTGATTGATTAGAAACAAATTGTAATAAATGTGAAAAAATTACATGATATAAAATAACAATTACGTTTTGCTGTCACCCATATTGTAGCCATTCATTTGATGTTGTTGTTGATTTGTGGAAAAGTTCATAGACTGCTGATTAGAGAGAGATTGGTGATAATGTTTTTGCATTTGCTGAGCTTGTTGCATTTGTTGTTGTTGCTGGTACTGTTGTTGCTGCTGCTGTAAGATTTGTTGCTGGTGGAGTTGCATTTGAGGATAAGATGCTCCTTGTGTTAAGTGCTGTTGTTGTTGTTGCTGCTGTAGTTGTTGTTGTAGTTTTTGCTGTTGTTGCATTTGTTGTAGCTGTTGTTGCTGTAACTGCTGTTGTTGTGAAGTACCTGTATGTGAAAATAAAAATACAGAATTATAAAATGTTCTTTCCATTTCAACAGCAAACACTTAAAAAAACTAAGATCTAATAAGATACGAAAGGAACCAACCATTCAAAGACCCAGTTAGCATTTCCAATGCACTGAACATGGCCATTGCAAAGTCGTCTGCCTCCTCCTTACTACTGAAATTTAAACCATAAACCTGCCTGTTGTCACGCCACTGATGAAAGGTGGGGGTTGCTTGATTGTACTTCAGACCTTTCATAATGGCACAGTTGATCACCAGCTATGAAAAATAATTATTTGAATGTTTTTTAATGATTTAATTAATTAAACATTGATTAGAAGAATACTGCCATGTAAACTTGACTAACTTCATGATCCTGTAACTTTCTGCCTACTACTCTAAAAGTATTATTGACTGGGTGTTGATAGATGTGGATTTTAGATAAACCCTGAGAGGTTCCACTTGGCACCCACCTACGGTTTCCTTCATCATAGACCATTACAGAGGCTTTGGCGGCCACTATTGAATGTTCCCTAAAAGTTGGAATGAAATAATCTAACTAAACTCAGTATGATTTTAAAAGAATTTAATATAATGAATCTTATTGAAAATTTAATTACAATGAATAAGAAAATTAAATAAATTGAAGAAAAAATAGGAATGTTTCCATTCTATCGTAACGTACCCCATGGCTCCTGATAATAAATTATCAATTTAGAAAAAAAATGCAACTCTTAAATAATCATAACTTTAATCGGCCGTTCTTAGAAAATGACTCAGCTCCTAAAAAAATACATTTGATTAGGAAAACAATGAAGTTAAAAACCAATGAGCGGAAGTGCCAATGAATATTTCATATGTTGGGCGAGTTTATTTTTTCTATATGTTCATTGGTATGATTATCATTTTTTCAACTGATTATTAAGGTGTATGAATAATGTATTTTTATTACGAATATGGCATGAAATAATTTTAAAAACTGAGAATTTATTAATATTATAGTATCAAATTTAATAAAATGCACACAAAACCGCTGCTATTATTGATAAAAATGATTTAATTTAACAAAATTACAAAAAGACAAGCAAAGTAAGAGCAAAATGATGAACTAAAACGTAAAAAATCCGTCCAAATATCAGAAATTCAACCGTTCAAACATTTTTTTTCATGAATTTTCTTCACATTTTTTCTAATATTTAGCATGCAAACACAACACAACACGACTGCACGATTGAATTCCTTTGAAAAAATTATATCACAAGCGAAATATTTATAATATTATAATTTATTACAATTTCCCATGGCCATCATCGACCGCTTCCATCTAATGAAATGCTTACACACAGCTCTTGCAAAGCATGCAAAATAAAATAACAGGCATCATGGAAAGACATTTCTTATTTTTTCCAAACTCACACAAGAGATGCATAATGCATGCATAGGTGTGGTCATCATAATACAAGGAAACCAACAAGAAAAAAGAGAAAAGAAGAAGAAGAAGAGAGAAACAGAGAGCAAGGGCAAGAGAACGAGAAAGAGAGAGAGCTGAAAAAACCGTCAACATCAATAACAAGAAAAATTCATTTGCCATATTAAAACATATCAATAGCTTAGGTTTAAATTGTCATAATTAGTTTGATGTTCTTAATTTCATTATGTATACTATTCACCGTCTAGTAACATTGTACTAAATTGGGATACATTCAGCAGCATTATTATTATTATTTACTTCCACACGCAAATCGTAACATGGCCGAAGTGAATTATCTATTTTTTTTTATTTGAAAAAATGTCTATTTTAGTTCGAAATTTTTAATTTTTGTAAAAATAATTATGAATTTTTCCTCGTTCGTATCATTGCTTCATTTTTAATAAACAAAACACTGCAGTGAAAGAAATAGTTACAAAAATCTCCATTTTTTTAAAATCTGTCAGTAGACAAACTGTTGATACTCGGATTATTAAGATTTTAATTTAAATAATTAAATTAATTTAATTTTCTTGTTAAATTGATTTTAACCATGCTTTCCGTCAATTAGAAACGCTAGTCTATGAGAAAAACTGCATTATCTTTCTGTCTTTCATTTTTTTGCCTAGGTACGGATGTCCTAACTAACTAATTCAATTTCCTGGTTATCCCAGTTTGAAAATAATCAAAGTAAAATAACATAAAAAGCAACAATTATCTCGTTGGATAGATTATTTTATTTCGTTTTTTTTTTGCTTTTCCCACTTTGAATCCTGCATATTTTATTTACGGAAACCTACCCACCTACCTATCTAAACTATTTCAATTTTACTAATTTCTGATATCAACTTAATTAGTATACTGGTCAAATCTTTCAATATAATTGCATATTCTCATCCTGGATTTTGTTACAAAGAAAAATAATTAAGATACTATTGTTGCACTGTTGACTAACAACATACAAAATGGCGGATCTGGAAGCAGTTTTGGCAGATGTCAGTTACCTGATGGCCATGGAAAAATCAAAGTCTACGCCTGCTGCACGGGCTAGCAAAAAAATTGTATTACCAGACCCGAGGCTAGTTAATGAGTTAATTCATTAATATTTATGATCTGATTGCATAATAATTGTCTGTTGATTCAACTTTCTCATCTAAATATTTCATTTCATGGTTAACATCATAGTAGTATTCTTTTTATTATTCTTTTATCATGATCATTATTGCCTGGCTTTGCTTAACTTTAATATCATTACCATCTTACTAATCTTCATCATAGTCATCATCATCATCATCATTATTGTAATTATCATTATCTTCATCATTATCAAAATCCTTATCACCATCCTTATCATCATCACCGCTATCATCATCATCATCACCGTTATAACAATCATCATCAGCATCAAGAGTGTCATGCAGAAACATCTTGAGAAAACAGGGGAGGTCACATTCGATAAGATCTTCAACCAGAAATTAGGTGGGCTATTTCCACTTTCTTCTTATCACTCTCTTTCTCTCTTTTCCCTCTCTCTCTCTCTCTTCTTTCTCTCTCTTCTTTCTTTCTCTCTTTTTCTTACTATATCTTTCTTTTTTTTTTTACCCTTGGTTAGTTTATTGGTTGGATGAATGATAATTGATTGGTTGAAAATTTTAATAACTTGTTAATGAATGAATGAATGAATGAACGTATGAACGAATGAATGAATGAATGGAGGAAGGATGGAAGAATGGAAGGAACAAGAAAAAATGATTTAACGTTATTTTTTCACAATAATAATCTTTTTTCCTTCTCAAACCTATAATACACTGCTCTACATCATTTGGTGTCTGTGTGGCTTTAATTGCATTCACAATAAATAAGATAATAATAATAATAAACGATAATAATTAATAATAATAATAAATAAATAATAATAATAATTATTATTATTAAATCTTATATAGATGGTAATATTAATAACAATAGTAGTGATGATGATGGTAGTAGTAGTTCTATTTTGTTTCAAAGGTTGAATTGAATTTTTTTCATTGGTTATTTTACAGATTTATGGTTATAATTGTTAATGTTATTGTTACTATTGTTTTATTATTATTTTTTTTTTATTATTTTTTTTATTATTTTTATTATTATTATTGGTTTATGGATTTTGCTGATGTTATTATTGTTATAAGGTTTTATTTTGCACAAAGTTTTTTTTCTCTAAACTTTCCTAATTGGTTTCATGTGCTTCTCAAGAGTATGTGTGATTGTTATTATTATTATTATTGTTATTTTTGTTGTTGTTGTTGTTGTTGTGATTGTTGCTACAATTAAAGTTATTTTGATCACTGGATGCATTGTTAGCTCTAGTGACTTTGAGAGGTACCATGATATTTCTGAGTCTCTCTCTCTCTCTCTCTCTCTCTCTCTCTCTCTCTCTCTCTCTCTCTCATTCTGTTTCTTACTCTTTCTGTCACTTTCATTCTCTCTCTCTTTCTTTCTTTCTTGCTTTCTTTTTTTCTTTCTTTTCTTTTACCCTCATGGAATTTTTATTATCTCAGCCATATATTGGATTCATTGAAGACGTGCACCCTTCTCTTAGTATTTCATTTAAGTTTAATTGCGCTATATAAATCGATAGCATTTTATATTGGCTCTTTGGTTGGTTGGTCGGTTGGCTGGTTGATTGATTGGTTGAAGGGTTGACTGATTGGTTGGCTGGTTAGTTGTTCATTTGTCTGTTGGTTGAATGGTTGATTTGTTTGTTGGTTAATTGATTGGTTGGCTGGTTGGTTGATTGGTTGATTGGTTGGTTGGATATTTGAAAAGTATGACATAATAAGGTCAACTGCTAATACTGAAATCACTTTCACTTTGAAATAATAGTTATAGATTCATCTTCACATCAATGTTTCATGTATATGTATGTGTGTGTGTGTGTGTGTGTGTGTGTGTATGTATGTATGTGTGCGTGTGTGTGTGTGTGTGTGTGTGTGTATGTATGTATGTATTAAAATATGCCATGCTGATCTGGTCTCTTATTGGTAGTGGAATTTTTCTTTCTCCATAAATATTACCTTACATGACCATGCATGGCATGTTCTTATGTGTGCTAGTGTGTGCGTGTGTATGTGTATATGTTTGTGTGTGTGTGTGGGTGGGCGTGTGTGTTGTGTTCTTCTGTGTAACTATGTTTCAAATATGTTTGTTAGTATTTAAGTTATCCAGGAGTGTTTGTTGGTTGGATTTTTTTAACTTATTAGTTTTAGCTTGTACATTTGTTTGTTTGTTTGCTTGTTTGTTTTTATGTATGTATGTCTGTATGTATGTCTGTATGTATGTATTGGTTTTATAGTATGCGCTCGCACACGCACATATACACATCCACACGTACACACACACATCCACACGCACGCACACATATGTACACATACATGTATAAAACACTCATATGTACTCAAGTTTTGTTATACCTATGTTTTTATTACATGAATTTTAAATATTCTACGTAGGGTTTTTTTTATGTTTGAAAAAAATAATTAAATAATGGTGCATTTATAGACACACACATACAAACAAACAAACATACAAACAAACAGACATACAAACAAACATACATACAAACATACGTACACACATATACACAAAAACATACGCGTCTATATACATACAGCCATATATCAATTATTGTTTTTACTCACACCATGTATTTGCTTATTTTCATGCCTTGCTAAGGATTTGTTTGCCCATCTTGTTTGTGTTTTTAATGTATATATATTTCTTTTGTATGTTATTATATTTGTATGTTTTTATTCGTTTGTGTGTGTATGTATGTCTGTATGTGTATGTGGTGTGTATTTTGTTTGTATTCATAAGTTAGCTTTAATTTATAACTTGTAAAAATTTTTAAATTTTGTGTATGTACATTTTTTGTTAGTTAGTGTGCGTGCGTGTGTGTGTGTGTGTGTGTGTGTATGTGTATATGTGTGTGTGCGTGTATCATTTTGTATTTGTATATATCTATTTTTCCACTTTTACATACTCATCTGTTTTGTATGTGAGTATGTAGGCATTTATTATTGATAATCTTCTGGCATTTGCAATGGATGTATGCATGTATGCATGCATGCATGTTTGTGTGTTTATATCTATCTATTTATCTATGTATGTGTGCATGTTTGTTTGTTTGTTTGTATGTTTGTATGTATGTATGTATGTATGTGTGTGTGTGTGTGTGTGTGTATGTATGTATATATGCTTGTTTGTTAGTTTGTATGTTGGTATGTATATTTGTTTGTTTTAAAAAGGTGTTTTAATGTAGACATGTCATTTATCATGTATGTTCAGCCTCTGCTTTACTGGTTACTGGTGATGCTTCACAATTCCACTTCCAAATTATGATTATTACGATATTTTTTATTATATTTTTCTTATTATTTTTGTAAAATTGAAATTTAAAAAAAAATAAAATTTAATTAATTCAATATTTTTCCTCATCCTTTTTTGCAGGCTTTTTATTATTCAAAGATTTCTGTGAGAATGTTTGTGAGGAACCTATTCCACAGATAAAATTCTATGAAGAAGTTTGTATATGAAATGTTTTGTATGTTTGGTACTTTGTATATATATGTGTGTGTGTGTGTTTGTTTGTTTGTTTCGAGGTGTGTATGTGTGAGTGTGTATATGTATGTGTGTGTGTGAGTGTGTGTAAGTATCCAGATATACAAATTAGGTAATATCATAAAACCGATTGGTTTTCATGTAGCAAACTCTTACCAATAATATCATTAGTATCATTACATTTGGGCTGGCGTTATTCCCTCATCATTCAGTAACTTATGTCAACAAGAGTTTGTATTATTGTATATAGGTTTGTTTGTATGTTTGTGTGTTAGTTTGTTTGTTTGTTTGTGTGTATGTATGTGTGTGTCTCCGTGTATGTATTTATGTATTATATACATTTGATACTGAGGCGAGTGGTATTTCGGTTTCATCATAGGTAGTCAAATAGGTAGCCAAACGGCAACCCCCGATCTCGGGGAAAATGTCGTCTAAACGTGTGTTTGTTTGTTTGTTTACTGAGGCGAGTGACAGATTTGAATGGCGTCGAGGGGTATTTCGGTTTCATCATGGGTAGCCAAACGGCAAACCCCGATCTCGGGGAAAATGTCGTCTAAACGTGTGTTGTTGTTGTTGTTGTTGTTGTTGTTGTTGTTATTATTATACATTTGTTTAGTATCATTTTCAAGCATGGTCAATATTTTTTTTTTGTAAAATCTGGCATTAGCTTAGTAGTGCAAAAATGTCTTCAACTTTCATCAGCATTTTTCCGTATGAACAAACAAACTTGTACAAAATATGCATTAATATTTATGTACACACACGCGCGCGCGCGCACACACACACACACACACAAACATACAAGCGCGCACACACACACACACGTACCCAACTTAGGTAAAGAAATTCGAGAACTTGGACACAGATGAGGAGCGAATAGAGGCAGGTAGAAAGATCTACGACAACTTCATAATGAAAGAGTTACTATCACAATCTCACGTGAGTATTCGATGCTGCTGCCACGTCGCTGGAAGAATATGTGCTTGGTTTAGGATAGGTGCTGGGTTTAGGATATTTGCTGGGTTTAGGATATTTGCTTGGTTTAGGATATGTGCTTGGTTTAGGATAGGTGCTAGGTTTAGGATATTTGCTTGGTTTAGGATATGTGCTTGGTTTAGGATAGGTGCTAGGTTTAGGATATTTGCTTGGTTTAGGATATTTGCTTGGTTTAGGATATTTGCTGGGTTTAGGATATTAGCTTTGTTGTGGTGTTTTCTATTCATAGCGCTAGTTCTCAGGCGTGTACTGTTGCGATAAATATTAATTAGCTCTGCACCCACCTTTCTTGCAGTCGTACTCGAAGGAAGCAATTGATCAGGCACTTGAGGCATTGACTCTTGCTCAAAGAACTCATAAACTGGCTGCTAATATATTCGAGGTATCGTCATCGTCATCGTCGTCGTCATCACAGTCATTATAGTTATTAATCATTGTGATTTAAATCCATAATTAATTGTTATTGTAGTCATTGTTCGGTCCGTTATAATACTATAGTAGCTGGGATTATGCTGTAGTTATATTTGTTCTCATGGTTTTATGAAATGCACACGCACACGCGCAAACATGTAAACATACGTACACAAATAGCCATACTTGAACGAAATCAAAGACATGTTACGCGGAAGCCTCTTTGAGAAGTTTCTAGAAAGGTTTCATTTTGACCATTTTTCCCTGTTGTTCACTCACTCATTCATTCATTCACTCATTCATTCACTCATTCATTTACTCATTCGTTCATTTACTCATTCGTTCGTTCGTTCGTTCATTCAGTTTTTCTCTCGTTTTATGATGAGGGAAAAAGGTAGCCTTGTGTAAATAAATAATGAACTTAGTTGTAGCGCGTAGTTTTTAATTTGATGCCGTATTTACGATGTTCTTTCGCAAAGTTATACTTTGAATTGAAACAGAGAGAGAGAGAGAGAGAGGCAGAGAGAGAGAGAGAGAGAGAGAGAGAGAGAGAGAATAAAAAATTAGACAATGAAAAGGAAAGACAGAAAGTGTACATGAACGAATGAATTAGTCATCATGAAAGCTAATGATGAAACACTCTAGCCTGAAAACTGTTAAATGATGAACAAATGATCTTTAAACATTGATTTTAATGTCAATAGGCACTTTTGTATATAAAATTCCCAACAGATACATACATACATACGTACGTACATACACACACATACACACACACACACATACATACATACGTACGTACGTAACAATCCATTGCATATACAACAAAAATACAGAATACTTTTGTAGGAACAGTGGATAAAATGCATACATGTATGAATGTATGTATATCTATTTCTCTCTCTCGATCTGTTTCCATCTCTCTCTTTCTCTCTCTCTCTTTCTCTCTCTCTCTTTCTCTTTCTCTTTCTCTCTCTCTCTCTTTCTCTCTCTCTCTTTCTCTCTCTCTCTTTCTCTCATGTATGATTGTATGTGTGTACAGTTGAATTTTGCACTGCGATGTTGGTTTTTACTTGCACACGGAAAAAAAAAAGAAATATACCAGGAATGCACTTATTATTATTATAATTATTAAAATGTCACACAGTCGAGAATCTATGTCTGACGTCATGATGTTAATTAAAAGATTATGTTAATTAGTCTATATTAAGATTATGTCATTGAGTGAGTACGACTTCAGTTTCCCATCAGCGACGGACGTCCTCGTCGTTTTAGTTTTTTTTTTTTTTTCGTTTCCGTCATATTCATCTTTGGTCTGCTGTTTTGTCTTAGTCACTTGCATCATTGCAAGTTCTTAACTGGGATGCTATCATCATCGCGATCGTCATCATCACTATCGCCTTAGTCATCATCATCATCACTACCGTCTCGGCCATCATCATCATCATCGCTGTCGTCGCAATCATCATCATCATCATTACTACCGCCATCATGCACAGTGACAAGTACATACGATTTTGTCAGTGGAAAAACCTGGAATTGAATATTCAGGTTGGAGTGTAATGTTTAATTAATGGATTGGTGGATAGATTAATAAAGGAATGAAGGAATGAGTGGATGGATAAATGAATGAATAAATGAATTAATGAATGAAGGCAATAATGAATGAATGAGTGAGTGATGTGAATATTTATCTTCAATGCATGTTTGTATATAATTTTCTTGGTATGCACCTGTAGAAATAGAAAAAATGATTTAAAAATAAATGTGATAAAGGTCGTTTGCTCTTTCATTCTCTCTCTCTCTCTCTCTCTCTTTCTCTCTTTCTATCTCTCTCTTTCTATTTATATTTGTTTGTTTATTTTATTTATTTGCCAGGTTATTTATTAAGTACTTTAGCGTTCTAATTGTGCTTGGCGCATTATCACAATCTTTTTTCCCATCACATCCTCCATCATTTGCGTTATGTCCAATATCATCATATTTCATTTTACTTCTTTTCCTTCTCTCGTTCTTTCTTCTTTCTCTCTCTCCTCTCTCTCTCTCTCTCTCTCTCTCATTTTTCGGATGGTGAAAAACGTCATCATCATCATCGTCGTCGTCGTCATCTTCATCACCACAGTTAACTATGAATGACTTCAGCGTTCATCGAATCATCGGACGAGGTGGGTTCGGTGAAGTTTATGGCTGTAGGAAAGCTGACACTGGAAAAATGTAGGTTTCTATATTTGTTTGTTTGTGTATTTGTATGTATCTGTATTTGTATGTATCTGTATCTGTATTTGTATGTATCTGTATTTGTATGTATGCATTTTGTATGTATGTATGTGTGCGTGTTTGTTTGCTAGTCCGTTTAGTTTATTGCGTCCAATAGGTATGCAATGAAATGCCTGGACAAGAAGCGTATAAAGATGAAGCAGGGAGAGACGCTGTCGTTGAACGAACGCAACATGCTGGCATCCGTTAGCATAGGGGTCAGTTATCGTCATCATTTCCATCATCATCTTCATCATCATCTTAATCATCATCTTCATCATCATCTTCTCCATCATTTCCTCCGTCATCTTCATCATCATTACCATCGTCATCTCCATCATCTCTCCAACCATCTCCTCCATCCTCTACTAGGAAGGCTGTCCTTTCATAGTCTGCATGACGTACGCATTCCAAACTCCTGAAAAGCTCTGCTTCATACTGGACCTGATGAACGGCGGTGACCTTCACTACCACCTCTCACAGCATGGCATGTTCACTGAGTCTGAGGTGAGGTTCTACTGCTCTGAGATTATCCTCGGTCTCGATCATATGCACAACCGATTTGTTGTCTATCGAGATTTGAAGGTTTGGTTGGTTTGTTTGGTTGTTCGTTTGGTTGTCTGTCTGTCTGCCTGCCTGTTTGTCTGGTTGGCTAACTGGCTGGTTTCTTTGGTTGCCAACCAACTGTCGTCGTTGTTTTTTGACATTTTTATCAACAACTAATAATAATAATAATAATAATAACAATGATAATAATGATGATGATGATGATAGCCGGCCAACATACTACTGGACGAGAATGGACATTTGCGGATATCTGACCTCGGACTGGCCTGTGATTTTGGCATGAAGAAACCACATGCCAGCGTGTTAGCCTCTATTATTATTATTATTATTATTATTATTATTTTTATTAGTAATAGTAGTAGTAGTAGTAGTAGTAGTAGTAGTAGTAGTCGTAGTAGTAAAAAAAAGAAGAAGTTCTGTTTTCACTGTTAGCGATATTGTGTACACATTACTTTCATTTGGTATTATCATCATTCTTCATGTCATCATCACTCTCATCATTATCATTCTCTTCATCAACATCGTGTAACGTCATCGTGATATGTCAAGACACCACGTGACATCGCATTATGACGTCACATGGCATCACTTTATCACGTGACAGGGGCACGCATGGTTACATGGCCCCGGAGGTCTTGGCCAAGGGCATGGCATACGACTCTAGCGCTGATTGGTTCTCACTCGGGTGTATGATATACAAGTTGCTGAGAGGGTGAGAGAGAGATTTGTATATCAATTATCTATCTCATGTCTGTATCTCTTGTCTGTATCTTTGTATTGTTTTGTATCGATTTGTTTTGTATAGTGTTTGTTTGTATCTTTCAACTGTATCACCTTGTTTTATATACTGTGTGTATCTCTTTTATTGTATCACATTGTTTTGTATGCTGTGTATTTGTATCTTTCTCTGTGTATGTTTCTTTGTATTTTTCTTTATGCGTTCGTGTGTTTTTACTGCATGTGTGCGTACAAACATGACGATTACGATAAATATAATGAATACAGTGGCTAGGATGGTGATGATGATGAAGTTGTTACGATGATAAAAAATACCAGCGATGATAATTGCGATTTTAGGCACAGTCCTTTCAGGCAACATAAAACCAAAGAACGCTCTGATATTGACAGTTTGACATTAAATCTGGTTCGTATATGTATGTACGTATGTATATATGTGTGTGTGTACATTGACGTTAAACCTTGTTCGTATATGTATGTATGTACACTCATTCGTGTGTGTACATATGTATGTACATGTATGTGTTTCTAGCTTATATGTTTCTATGTACATTTTCTTGAATGTGCTCGTGTATTTTCATTTACTTATTTGTTGGTTAGTTAGTTATTTATTTCGTTTGGGTGTTCGTTGTTCGTTCGTTTGTTTGTATATGTATACATATACTTCTTCATTGTCTATGTGTATATACGTCAGTGTTTAAAATCTATTTATAGGACTTGGAATTCCCTGACTCAATGTCGACTGAGATGAAGAACCTCCTAGAAAACCTTCTAAAGAAGGAAGTACCGGAGAGATTGGGCTGCAAGGGGAGGGGGTAAACCAACCAAACCTTTCATTTCTGACGTCATCATCGTCGTCGTCGTCGTAATCGTTATCATCATCGTCTTATTCGTGAATCCGATTTTTTTTAGGGCGTCGTCATAATCTATATTTCCATTTCTTTAACACTATCATAGTCATTATCATCATCATCATTATTATTATTACTATTATTATTGTTATTATTTTTTTTTTGTAACCGTCAGGGCTCAAGAAGTCAAAGAACATCCGTTTTTCGCAGGCATCGATTGGCAACAAGTATGTATATGCTCGTTTGTTTGTCTATTTTCTGTAACAAAAGAGTTTATATTATTATTGTTATTATTATTATTATGACACCCCCACCCCAAATAGGTGTACCTGCAGAAGTATCCGCCCCCTCTGATACCCCCGCGAGGTGAGGTGAATGCCGCCGATGCATTTGACATCGGGTCGTTTGATGAGGAAGATACTAAGGGGATAAAGGTTTGTATACTGTTTTGTATGTTTTTGTTGTATGTTTTTGTTGTATGTTCTTGTTGTATGTTTTCGTATGTTTTGTATGCCTTCTTATCTCACTTATTCAAGTTCTCTTTGCATTGGTTTCACAGGAATACTGAATAAGTTACCAACGATTTTAAAAACGCTGATATGCGTAGACAGACCATGATCACACAAACACATACACGTACATCGACCTACAACCGCAACGACATCTACTACTACATTCAACATGCGACAACTACTGTTATTACATACGACACACACATACATCAGCAGCAACTGCAGCCACTACAAAAGCCACTACTACCGCCACACTACCACCACCGAAACACTGACAGATAACAGAGGCAGACCAGGAGTTGTACAAAAACTTCAACCTAGTGGTATCAGAGAGATGGCAGCAGGAGATTGCTGAGACTGTCTTCGACGCCATCAACCAGGATGCTGACAAGACAGAGATGAAGAGGAAGCAGAGGCCAAAAGCCGATGAGAATGATGAACATTGTTAGCTGCTATAATGGTTTCTCATTTCTCAATGACGATTCATTTGATATTTTTATTATCTTTGCTGGTTTACTTTTTTTTATATTTCTTTGCTCTATTACTTTTTCAATTCATAATGTCTTTGCTGTGTTACTTTATCAATTCGTGCTCTATCACATCTTTGCCGTCGAAGTTATACTGTCACATGGTTCTGTAATATCTATGTTTTACACATGTTATGTCGTCATTTATGTTATCGCTCACACGTCAGTCGGACCGACGGATTGCATAGTGGAGGGCGAGGTCCTAAAATTAGGCGGCCCGACCGTTCTTCAAACATGGCAGAAAAAACATCTGAAACTTTATCCCAATCGATTGGAGTTCTACCCCAAGAATAGAGATGGGCAGATTGCCAAAGGAAAAGGTGTCGAGGTTGGTTAAAATTGTTACCCATTAGTATTATATTATTATTTATCGTTACTATAATTTTTGTTACAATTCTCAGTATTTTTAAGAGGTAACAACAACATTGAAACACAGCGCTGCTCAAAAATTGTATACTATACTTTACTATTTTTATTTATAATAATATGTTGTCCCCCCCCCTCCCCTTGTCAGTTGATACCAATGACAGATATTCTAGAAGTTTCTCCAGATTTCCAAAAGATGAACAAAACAGAGAACTGCATCGTCCTCTACATGAAAAATGAATCCAAGATCGCCATCACATCTCCGGTTATTATTTTTTTTTCGTCTGCGGTTCTGTTGCATTGTTTCTTGATGAATTTTGAGAAAATGTTTCAAGTTGGTTGATTGGTGGGTTGGTGGGTTGATTGATTGGTTGGCTGGTTGGTTGGTTGGTTGATTGATTGGCTTGCTGGTTGATTGATTAGTTAGTATTTATTTTTCTCATTTAGGACCGTGTTCTAATCAACCAATGGAAGGATGAGATGGTCAATGGATTCCGGCTGTCATCGCAGATTCTCGCCAACATGAATAAGAAGGTGTCGCTTGTTGTTGGTCGATTGATTGTGATTGATTGGTTGACTGACTAATTGATCGGTTAGCTGATTGGTTGGATGGTTAATTTAATTGATTGATTGATTGATTGGCTGGTTGGTTGGATGGTTAATTTAATTGATTGGTTGATTGATTGGCCGATTGGTTGGATGGATGGATGACTTAATTTATCGATTGGTCTTTCTCACTCAAATAAAAACCAGCAAAAATATTTATCAAGCGCAGAACCAATGTTTGTAATTCGTTTCATTTTAATCTCCACTAGGTAAGAAATAAATACGGGGCAGAGATGGGGGGTGATAGTGGCATGTTGCACTCTCTGGAAAAGTGCAGTAGTGAAGAGAGCTGAATTATATGAAGGCTGTTCCGATGGTGAATTATGAAGGATCTCAAAGTGAATTATGATCCGGATGTGAATTATGATGGAGTAGGAAGATGATGATGATGATGATGATTGGGACGAAAGATGAATTAATTGAGGGTCTTAGAGTGAATTATGAAAGATGATGATGATGAATGAAGATATTTAAATTCTGAAGTGAATCGTTAGATGGATGGATTTAATGAAAGAACGATAACAGATGAATGAATGGATAGGTGAATGGATTGATGGATGGATTGATGGATGGATATATGGATGGATGACAGTATTGAATTACTGTAGGGCACGTAGCTAGGTTGAAATCATCTTCAAAGAAATTATTCATTAATTTTTTTTTGATAAATAAATCTAATGACTAGATGATGATGATGTGTTGTTTGTTTTTTTTTTATCTATTGATAGATGTTTGAATGCATGAATGAATGAATGCATGAATGAATGAATGCACAAACGAATGAATGAGTGATAGATCGAACATTTGCATTTCTTCAGAATAGTTGTACAAAAAAAAAATTAAGAACACCATTTCATTCTCATAACATCGACTATATACATCTTCTGCTCTGATATTGTCACAACAACATTAATTGCTACGACCACTTCTACTACTATTACTTTTGCTACTACTACTACTACTACTACTACTACTATTTTAGTGAGTATTTTATAGTATTATTGCTGGAAGACAAACTTTTGTTATTATTACTTAGAACCAGATCAGGGGTGGGCAAACTTTTTGCTGTGAGGGCCGCATTGAGAACTATTTTACCTTTCAAGGGCCGCACATGTACTTAAATTGTACTTAAATAGCAAATATTTTCGACCCGGGGGAGAATTTTTTTAAGATTTGTGGTTCCTTTTTTTGGTCATAATGGCTGGCTGACGACCTCTTTTTTGACGACCCACCCCTGCACTTGATTGATGACTGTAAATAAACCAGTTTCGGAAATTATTGTTTTTATTATTATTGTTTGTTAATATTTACAAATTATTGTAACGTTTGCGATTTTATTATTATTATTATTATTATTACAATTGTTATTGTTGTTGATATTATTGTCATTTTCATTGATATTATTCAGACGTGTTTTAAAATCTATATAAAAAAAAATATGCGTTGATGTATTTATTGCTCTATGTTTATTTATTCATTCATTCATTCATTCATGCATTCATTATCCATTCAATCAATCAGTCATTCGTTCGTTCATTCATCCGTTCGTTCGTTCGTTCATTCATTTTTTTACTTATTTATCATTTGAAATTTGTTGAATTTTCAAAATTTTGCATCGTTCTCTGCAAACTAATTATTTTATTGAAGTTGTTGTTGAAGTTGTTGAGGTAGCTGTTGAAGTTGTTGTTGAAGTTGTTGTTGAAGTTGTTGATGTTGTTTTTTTGTTATTATTTTTCTCTTGTTTTGTTTATCAAGCAGCATTTAAGTAACACTTTAAACGCTAGTTTCGTTTAAATTCACTTCTAATCTTTTATTTAAACATTGGTATATATGTGTATATATGCCTGTATGTGTAAATGTATGTGTGCGTGTGTTGTGTATGCGTGTGTGTGTATTTATGTATGTGTGTATAATTACTTGGGAACAGTATTTTTTCGTCAATTCTATTCGTAACCATGATGATGTTCTACTCTGTTCTGTATATTGTTGTCGATATTTATATTTTAATTTCAATATTTTTCCCATTCTTACGTTTTATGACTAAATAAATAATTAAATTTAGTTGATTGATTGATTGATTGATTGGTTGATTGGTTGGTTGGTTGGTTGATTGATTGATCGATCGATTGATTGATTGATTGATAAAAAAAAACATTGTTATTCTGTTCAACATCGTTGTCTTTTTATATTCCGAACTTATATTCAATAATATACATATTGTGTGGATATGAAATATTTATATATGTATATGTTTATATATATTTATATATGGTTAATTGAAATTTTTCAAATCAGTGTATAAATAATATATTATATGTATATATATAATATATATATATATATATTTGTGTGTGTTTTTATGTGTATATATATATATATATATATATACACACAAACATATTTGTTTGTTCGTTCATTTATTCATTATTTTACGAAGAGAAGATGATGTATATAATTACAAAAAGACGATATATATATATATATATATATATATATATATATATATATATATATATATTCAGAACATTACGTGTGCAATAGTAAAATTGTCAGCAAGTTGGACAGAACTTTTTTTTTTTCTTCACTATTGAAAGTCAGATTTTGATATTTTGGATTTTAATAAATATGTACGTATGTATTATATTATGCGTGTTATTGTAGTTATGTTGTAAAATCTGTTATTATTATTATTTTATTATTATTATTTTATTGTTATTTTTACTAAGGTTATTATTGTTATTCTTTTTTAAAATGTTGTAACCGATACTTGTTTTTTTTTGTTGCTGTTGTATTTGTATGGTAACTTTTTGAAAAATGTTTCTCTAAGTAACGATTATTATTATTATTATAATAGTTATTATATTATGATTATAACTACTGTATTTATATATAATATATTTATTATGTCGTATTTATTATATTTGATAATATTATTTAAACAATTTTAGAATCATGAACGACAACTTAATTATATACGTTATTATGTGTATATATTACATAACTCATTGTACTAATAAACAACGAATGCTTATAGAAACTTTGTATGTATGTATCTATGTATGTATGGGTGTGTGTGTGTGTTTGTGTGTGTGTGTGTGTGTGTGTGTGTGTGTATAAATAATAAAAGTACATATAGATATATATAGGACAATTTTCATATTGGTTTGCTTATATATTTATAAATGTAATGATACTATATATATAATTCTACATAGTATTGTATGAATTCTACCGAGTGGTTGGCATTAATCAATTTAAAGTTTGTCTTTTCAATTTTCTGGGAATTGTTCAATTTGTTGAAAATAGATTCACTATCTAAGTTCGTCATGGAAATTTAATAAAACTTGTCATCCAAATTCATTATGCGGATAGGCCTTATTTCGGTTTTTCACAAATCATCTTCAGTGCAGGTATGGTTTATAGTTTCTTTAAACTAAGCAGAGTTAGTTCTTCAGCTAAATTACTTAGTTGGTGTCGTATTCTGCATTTTTGTTGTTGTCATTCCTTTGTTCTTCATTGTTATCGAAGTTAGTATTAAGGCGTCGAGTTGGTAATGATGTTATCATTCTTTGCTGGATGTTTATTTGGGGTTTATTGATATCTATTAGGGCAGACTCTGCAATTTTGAGATGCATTGTGTTGATGTTTTGATAAATTATTTTGTGTTGTTGTCAAGAATTTGGCAGCTTGTTGGAGTCGCATGTGCTGATTGTAAGTTATTGATAGTTGTTTTTGAATACATAGCTATTGTGCAAAATTATTTATAGCATTATTGACTACTTTTAATATAAAAGTTGTCGAGTTTTTATGAAAATTGTAAAACAAGATAAAGCTTAGGCCTTTTAACGGACCTAGGAAGATATATTTTTACTTTTGAATATTCAGTATCTTTTGTTGTTAGTCCACCATCTTAAACTTTTGCGATTATGTTTCAGTTATTTAATTGAATATATTAAGTTATTTAATGGTTTAGAGGATAAAAATTATAGAATTTTAAACTTTTACGACATGATGGAGGAACCGTTATCTGTTCATCAACTCGACCAGCCATTTAACACTTTAGGCGTTAGATTATCGGCAGGCAATGCCAACAGCAATAAAAATGATGATGTTCCTTTAACCCGGCCACTCTATTCCATGCCAGGAATTTTACACTTTCTCCAGACTGAGTGGGCCAAATTTGAGATGGACCGCGCTCAGTGGGAGATTGATAAAGCGGAGTTACAGGTCAGGCGGAAAAATAGTGCTCAACTCTGCTAACATTTTTAATTTAAATAAAAATTAATTAAATAATTAATAAAAATTAAAAATTGATATAAAAAAAATCACATAGTTGATAATAGAAGTAAGTTTTTTTGTTGAAATTTGTAGGCTAAGATAGCGTTTTTACAAGGAGAAAGAAAGGGACAAGAAAATGTTAAGCAAGATCTTATTAGGCGGATTAAAATGTTGGAATTTGCTCTTAAACAGGAAAGGTTATTGTAAAAATTTTAAAAATTATGATCCATTATAAAATTTCCACTTCAAATAAATTTTAAATCACACATTTTGCTTCCCTATATAAAAAGTGATTGCCTGTATTTATGATAATAATGTGCTAATTTCAGTTATTGATTTTTGTTCAAACAGAAACAAATATCACAAGCTCAAATATGGAACTGAATTAGATCTTGGCCATTTGACCTCTCCTACTTTTGAAAAAGAAATGAAAGGTCAATAAGTTTAAAAGATTAAAAAAATTGTGATAAAATCATTAATTAAATAAAAATATGTATATACTATGAAACAAATATATTAATTCACGTGCAGATGAGCAGAACATTCAAGAAAGCATACAATCAACTTCTAACAACAATGGCAAATGGAAACATGGAAGGCAGCTCCTAAGACAGTAACTATCATCATTTAGTTCTATCATTTTTATTACTGTCTTTTTCACTATGCTCTTTAAAAATGATACCAAATACAATTAACAGCAAAATACCCAACAAAAATACCGTAGATACCTACAGGAGATAGGGTACACAGATACCATCATAGATGTGAGGTCGGCCAGAGTTCGTCAGCTGCTGGGATTGCAGCCACTGAGTGATGAGTCGTCGAAAGCCAACTTAACTAATGGAGATGCTCAGGCTCCTAAAAGACCTCTGGATTCGAGGTCAGTGATGATTAATTTTGTTGTTTTAGTAATTTTTTGTTGTGCTTAATAGTCTCTTATCAGATTGTTATGCTACTTATACATGTGCATGTCGCACTACAGAGCCTACCCAAAGAAAGGCCCAAACAACATGGCTGCAGAGACAGGTCTGATGAACAGTGAGAACTCTATCATGGCTACCCTTGACTTTCTGTCCAATGCAGAAACCATCAATGATGATGACAATGACAACGACGACGACAGCGATGACATCAACATTGATGATGAGAAAGATCAAATAGTTATCAAAAAACCCAAGTTAAAAGTCAGTTTTTGTACTATTAGCCTAAGTTAGCTTGTTTTCACAAGCTAACTTAGGCTCGGTTAATATATCTCTCCTATCAAAAATTCAGGACAATAGCAACAGTAAGTTAGTGTCAGATGCAGACACAGAGGAGGCCCTGGCAGAGTTCAACTTTCTGGTGAATGATTCATCTGATGGGCTGCTGGATCATCGAGGGCTTGGAGATGGTGGTTGGTCGTGTGCTGTTTTGTGCTGTTGTTGTTGTTTTGTACTGTTGTTGTTGCTGTTGTGGTTGGTTGGTTCAGTTTATGTTTATCATTGCTGGGAAAGGTGTCCTGAAGAATGAAGGCAACAGCAGCAACAGTGAGGATTGGAACATGAACCCGCAGTTGATCAACAAACTTAAGGAGCAGTACATGAGGGAGAGGCAAAAGGATGGCAAAAAGAATACACCTAACTCACAAGAAAGTTAGGAAATTATATTTTTCCTTTTTAAATTTAAAATAAACTTTTGATTCTCACAAGTGGGGTTATTTTCAAAGTTCAAAATTATTCTTTTTTTTCTCTAATTCAGGGCCTAAACGATCGACACTTCAGGCAATGTTAGTGAACTTGGAAAACGAAGATGGAGGTCCAGCATTACAATCAGGAAACACAAGTCCACCACGAGAAAACGGAGGTACTGACGTTGTGGAGTCTGATATTTTTTAATTAATAAAATTATGTTAATTGTGTTAATTTATGCAGGTGTCCAGGTGATGATGAATTTAGCCAATAATGATGAGGATGCTTTGGAAGCTGCTCTGGGGTTGGGTGAGCTTGCAGCCTAACCATCACTAATGATGCTGATTTGTTGTCATATGAGGTATATGTATTGTTGAATTATTATCCATGCTCATGACGATTTAGATGTAGATATAGATAACGTTTGTATGCATGTATATATACAAATGTTCTAGTAGTAGTGATGATTTTTGTTTTATTTTTAAAATTTTTATTTTGCTACCCAGATGGGTGCATCTAAAGATATACACAGAAATCCATGGAGTGCCAAGTACACATTGAGAAGGTAGATACATCTAGACATATATCCATCCATCCGTCCATCTATCTCTATATCTATCTACATTATCATGAATGTTATTGTTGCTATTATTTTTCAGCCATTTTGATGGGATTCGGTCTTTGGTGTTCCACCCCGTCGAGCCAGTTCTTGTTACAGCATCCGAAGATAGCATGCTGAAGTTGTGGAACTTGCAGAAGCCAGTACCTGCTAAAAGGTAACAACGATAAGAATATCTAAAAATAATTCAGCTCTATCAAATAATAATAATTATGGTGATAATGTGGTGGTTGGAAGCTTTGTTATAGTTCAATTTTAGTTGATTTCATCATTCTTTTTTTGTTTTGTTCTTCAGGGCAGCTTCGTTTGATGTCGAGCCAGTGTACACTTTCCGGGGTCACGTAGGGCCTGTCTTGACCCTGGCAATGAGTGCTACTGGTGAGAATTGTTTCAGTGGCGGGCTTGATGGGACGATAAGGTGCTGGAATATACCCAACTCCAATATTGATCCCTACGATTCGTTCGGTTGGTTACTGCCAGTTGCTTGTTATTTCAAACTGTTTCTTTGACATTATGAAGACCTTTTCATTACAAATAATAACCTATCACCACCATGATGGATGACTCATTTTCACTACTCTAAACAGATCCGAGCGTCCTGAACACGACGATATCAGCCCATAGTGATGGCATCTGGGGCCTCTCCATGCACAGTGGCTGTGTACATCTCCTCTCCTGTTCACCGGATGGCACTGTCAAACTCTGGGACCCCACCATTCGAACACCACTCCTCGATACTTTCCTCATTAGCTCTGGTTGGTTGGCTATTCAGCTTTGATTGATTCTATTTGTGTCAAAGTTTTTAAGTGTGGACGTGGGAAGTTGAAGTCTTGCTTCATACTGTGATGGTTATTTGCTTTTCTGGCAATACAACAATATTATTTTTTTCCCTTTTCAAATGAATGTAAGTGAAAAAACTGAAATATTTTTAATGACATCATCATCATGGATATTTGTACCCTCTGCACAGAACCAGGTGTGCCAACAAGCATAGATTTTGTAAGATGTGAGACAAATCAGATCGTCGTATCGTACACATCATCAAATACTTACCTGTACGATATCGAGAAAAAGAGACCAATCATTTGCCTGGAAAATAAGCTGGGACCTGATGGTTTGAGATTTTTTTTTAGGGGATTTTGGTTTCAGTTTATGAATGTTTTGGTTTTTTAGATTTGCTTGTTAATTTTATTAAATCTGGTGCATACATTGCATTGAATTGCATTTTCTATGAGTTTATGTAAATTTTTTTCCAACTTTCTTTCTCTCCCAAAAAGCATCAGCATCGGCTGCACATCAAAACCACCAAGTGAACAGGGTCATATGCCACCCGACACTTCCCATCACCATCACCGCTAATGAAGATAGACACATCAGGTTCTTTGATAACAATTCAGGTACTGCAATCTTTTCCATTCAACATTTACTTATCTGTCTGTCTGTCTGTCTCTCTGTCTTACTGTTCGTCTGTCCGTATCTGTCTATTCGTTTATTTAGTTGTTTCTTTCTTATTATACGGTTTTAATTTATGTATGCGTGCTACTGCATCATCTTCATCGTCATCTTTACCATGCCATCCCAATTGAACAGGTAAAATGATTCACTCAATGGTGGCGCACCTTGATGCTGTAACATGCCTGGCCATCGATCCAACTGGATTGTACTTGCTTTCTGGCAGTTAGTAATTTTTTTGTTGTGTCTTAGTATGATTTAAAATACTACTTTTATTACTACTACTACTGCTGCTGTTGATTCTGCTAATTACTGTTAGCGCTCCCCCATACCTTACTGCTACATTAAAACATTACAGGCCACGACTGCAGCATTCGTCTGTGGAACCTGGAGACGAAAACGTGCGTGCAGGAAATGACGTCACACAGGAAGAAATTCGAAGAGTCGATACACGATGTGGCTTTCCACAGTACCAAGCCCTTCATCGCTTCGGCCGGGGCAGATGCCCTTGCCAAAGTTTTCGTTTGAGTACAGCTTACTGCTACTTGTGCGATTTTGTTCTTGTACTGTTTGTTTGTTGTTGGTTGTTTTGTCTGTTGCTGGTGTGCCTGCTGATGAATGGCCCGTGATGGGTTTCTTCTCTCTGCTTTTCATTTTCTCTAAAGATAGGATGGCTGAGAAAGAGAGAGAGAGAGAGAGAGAGAGAGAGAGAGAGAGAGAGAGAGAGAGAGAGAGAGAGTAAGAGAGAGAGAGAAGAGGGAGTGGTATTTTCTTCAAGTGTAATAAAGGTAAAAAAAATAAGTTAGGCATAAGTATGTTTGAATTATTTTTTATTTGATAACAATGCTGATGTTATGGGTATTTTTATCGATGCGTGTGTGTATTTTTGTGTGTGCGTGCGTGCGTGTGTGTGTGTGCGTGTGTGTGTAAACTATGATAAAATATATAATATAATAGACGAATGAGTTGATGATAGATTGAATGGATTGTTAATTGCTTGGGCGAATGACGTAATGAACTTCAATCGCTAGATAATTTGTTTGCGTGAAAATGAATGAACACATTTTGATGGATGAACGAACGAATGAACGAGTGAACGAACGAACGAATGAGTGAATGATGGGATAAAGTTTAATACATTGCATTACAAACACTTACAAACGTTAAATGAACAACATTAATAATGACATTAATGTGCGTACACTATTTAGTTGGGACATTTTTTTAGTACTAACGATAAAGATTCTGTTTTGCTAGTTTAATTATATATATATATATATATAATATGTATGTAGGTATAATATATATATATATATATATATATGTGGCTTGTTCATACATTAAATATGTAGTATTTGATCCTTGCACATAATTCAATAGCGGTGATGATGGTGGTGATTAACAACAAGAATGATAATAATTAAAATTATTATTAATAATAATATTTGAAATTATTATTATTAATATAGTAGCGAATAATTATAGTAGTAATAATAACTGACTATAATAATTTATATTGTTATTATTATTTCAGTTTTAAAAGTTTTTTAAATTTATTTATCCTGTCCGCTCGTTCATTTATTTTTGTATGGGCGATTTATAAACCGATTTTTAACTAGTGAAAATGATGACGACGACGATGATGATGACGATGATTTTTTTCTCGCTTTCACTGATTAAATCAAATCAAATTATTATTATTATTGTTATTATTATTATTGTTATTATTGGTGTTATTATTATAGCGTGTTAATTTATGATATTTTATTTTATTTTCACACACACACTTCTTTAAAAAAAATAACTAAAAATCAGCTTTGTATGAAATATTCTTTTTTTGCATATAAACACTTATGTAGTTGTATATGGGTGTGTGTGTGTTTGTTTGTGTATGTATTTGTTTGTCTTTCTGTGTATGTGCTTGTTCGTTTGTCTCTTTCTTTGTTTGTTAGCTTGTACGTATTTATGCATGTGTGTATGTATGTATGTATGTATGTATGTATGTATGTATGTATGTATGTATGTATGTATGTATGTATGTATGAATGTATGTATGAATGAATGTATGTATATATGTATATTTGTTTGTTTGTTTATGTATATATTTATTCAATTCTTTAAGTATTGAAGTTTATTGAAGAATGAATAGACATTTCTTTAGAAAAATAGTAATAATAATATTAATAATATTGTTGTTATTATTTTTATTATGAAAGGTAATTGATCATATTTAGTGGCGTAATTTAACTTTATTTACAATCAATTTCAGTAATTTTACTCCTAATTAAACCTAATAATAAAAAAAACAATTTAGGATATATGGATGATTGATTGATGAATGGGTAGATATATATGGATGAATGAATGGGTGAATGAATGGATGGATGGATGGATTTTATAAATAAACTTTATCGGAATGTTTATAACACTGTTTGTTTGTTTGTTTGTTACTACTACTACAACAACAGTTAACTTTGTTATCATTATTCCTAAATACTTTAATTATTATTAGTATCATCACACTGTAGTAATTCCTGTTCTCTAACTCTAAATATACATTCATTCATTCATTCAATCATTCATTCAATCATTCATTCATTCATTATTAGACTTTCAGTCATTTCATTCATTCATCCAGTCATTCATTATTATTATTAGACATTCAGTAATTCATTCTATGATTCGTCCATTCATTCATTCATCCATTCATTCATCCATGCATCATATCAACGAATCATTAATTCATTCATTCATTCACACTGTGAATTGCAACATTTCCTATAGATTAATATAAGTATATGTGTGTTTATGTGTGTTTTTACTGTTTTTTTTTATGTTTTTTCAAAGCAACATTGGAAATCTGCCGGTATGTACTTTATGATAAAATTTATTATTATTATTGTTTACTGTATTATTATTATTATTATTGTTGTATTATTATTGTTATTATTTTGAGTGTTAGTTTCGGTTTTTCTTAGTTTATTAGATGATTTGATATCTTTGATTGTTTGATTTCTATGTTACTTTCTTTCGTTCTTACTTCTTTTTATTACTATTAGTATTTATTATTATTATTATTATTCATAATAATTTTAGCCCTTGAACTATTCGACTATAATTAATAAATTCATCTCCTCATCATCATTATTATCTATTGTTTTGTTTATTGTTATTATTTTTAAAATTCAAATTTATATTACATTGAAATTCTTTTTGTCAATTTCGTTAACTTATGATAACGCTTCGATATATATATATAAATATATACATATATATATATATATAGGTGTGTGTATGTATATATATATATATATATATATATATATATATGTATATTATGTGTATTTGTGTTTATTTATATATAATTGTTCATGTATTAATTTTATGATGTGATTTCGGTACATATATATGTATGTATACATATAATTCTGTATATATATATTTATATATATGTATAGGTTTGCATACATATATATATGTGTGTGTGTGTATCTATATGTATATGTGTGTATACGTATGTATGTATATGTGTGTACATACACATGTACATACATGCATACCTACTTTATATAAGTGTATATTGAGTAATGCAAATAAAAAGTTAGTTTCCTTGAGTAAGTAATTATTATTAAATGAATTAATGATTTGGAATGGGAAGGTTGAGGTTGAAAATACAAAAAGTTGTGTGTTTGCGTGCGTGTATGTGTGTGTATGTATGTATGTATGGTATGTATGGTATGTATGGTATGTATGGTATGCATGTATGTATGTATTAATGAATGTATTTCTTTATTTTAGCGAAATTACATGGCATACAACAGCTTTAACGTTAAACCATTGAACACCGTGTAATTCCAATAACGCAATGTCAAGGTTATTAATTATAATTGAACGTAATTATGCGGAATAATTTATGTGGCGCTGTTTTCTTTGTCGGTGGCCTTGCCGCATTTTGCCTCTGGCTTGTTTTTAATCTCTCCGGGTCTCCTGTTCAACTTCTGCAGCGCTGTTAACTTCATGCAGTGAAACCCCTCTATTTCATTATTATTGTTGTTATTATTATAATTATTATTATTGTTGTTGTTGTTATTATTGTTATTATTATGTGAATATGTATCATTATTTAAAGTTATTTAACAATGGCAGTAGAGTGAATTGATTCAATTTACTGCTAATTGGATTACAATCCGGGACGATGGTGGTGACGTCAGCGGAATTTTGATGACGATAACCAAAAACAACAACAATAATAATAAAAACAACAATAATAATAATTAAAATAATAGTAATAATAATAAATCCCAACTACTTCCACCTCCGTGCTGGAGCCTTCCGTGGGCTAGGATATCATTAACATCCGATAAGATATCCTTCATTCCGCCACTTCCAACGCCATCATTATCATCAGCGCCGTCAACATTCTCCTTGGTATCATTATCATTACCATCGTCGTCGTCGTTGGTGTCTTTTTTCTTGGCATACCCTTCCAAGACTTCGTCCAACTTCTTTTGAATGTTCTCGAAGCGATCGCTGTTGTTGTTGAATTGTTGTTGTAGTTGTTGTTGAATTGTTGCTGTAGTTTTTGTTAGTTGTTGTTGCAACATGACCAGAATTATCATCAAAAATATTATTTTCGCTGCCTGCCATCATTGATGTCATCATTAACATCAGCAGCAACAGCAAAATTATTACTGTCATCGTCATCATAATGGTCATCATCATCGTCGTTATCATTATCATTACGAAAACTCACTTTCCCATATAATCAATTTCATTCCTTTCCCAGTTGTACTGCCTCTGCCTCTCTCTCAGGTAGAATTCAGTGTGGGAAGCCAAACTCCTCACCCGCAGATCGGTCAGTCTGTTGAGCTTCAAGTCACTTGTTCGCGGTAGTTTGGGCTGTTGGTTGGTTGGTTGATTGATTTGTTAGTAGGTTGGTGGGTTGGCTGATTGGTTGGTCGGTTGGTTGATATTTTAATGAATGAATGAATAGTTGATTGATTGATCTAAATTGTAATTAAAAAAGATTGAATTAATAAACGAAAGAATGGATGAATGGCGTAATGGGCAAACTAACAAACAAGCAAACGAAAAAAACCCAAAATTACCCATTCAACAACATCCAAAAATAATATCCCAAGGAATTTTCAACAAACCTGGACCGCAGACATGAAAATATCCCACCATAGTTGCAACAATTCCATGTTTTGAGTGACCTGGAACGGTTGGCAGATGACTCTTTGTGTTGTTTCATTCCATTCATGATCCCAGGGTTTGGGCTTTCCAAGGTAGTGAACGATCTGAATCAATCAATCAATCAATCTGCCAGCCAGTCAGTCAATTAATCAATCAATCAACTAATCACTCATTCAATCAATTTTTAGCGCAATTTTTACAAACTTAAAATTGTAATTACAAACAAGAAAAGTGGTTAGATAATTTGAGAATTTTTCGTATTTTATTTCATTAAACGATTGCACGGTATCGCATGGTATTAACAGCCAAATTCAACAGCAACGACAGGAACAAGACCAACGTCCCACCAACAACAAACACCCCTTAGTAACCTTAATCTCGTCACCGAATTTCTTGAGGGCCGGTTTGTAAGAATAGTAGGAGTGCCAGGCCAGGTTGTAAGTGAAGGGCAGATGGTATTTGATGTCTTTGGTGGCCCAGTCGGAGAAAAATAAATTCAGCAAGCCCTGGTCGCCGCCATCGAAGCTGCCAATTTTTAGTGCAAATTGTAGAAGATCCCCGTACATCTCGAATGATGGTCTGTGAATGGTATGAATGAATGGATGAATGAATTAATGAATTAATGATTGATTGAATGAATGAATGAATGAATGAATGAATGAACGAATGAATGAATAAAAATCTAATCATTCATTCATCTGTACGGCTGTACTCATCTCACGACTACAACACGCAACGTTACTTAAATAAAGAAAATTATATCCATCCATCATCTTCCTAATTGTCGATGGTTCTTACTGATACAGAAAAATTCCGGAATTAAAGCAATCGGGCCAGCCGGCATCGGGAGCGGCTGCGAAGGGATCCCGACTGAAAAGGTCGTCCACATTCTGAAGGACCAAGGTATCCGCGTCCATGAAAACGCACTTCCGGTATTCCACAAGTCTCCAGGCCTGGATCTTTGTAAAGGTTACTCCCAGTTCGCTCCGTTGCAGTAAGGAGAGGTGCTCATAATCCTGTGTCCGTGTGTGTGGTTGTTTGTTTACGTGTGTGCGTGTGTGTTTGTTTATTTGCGTGTGCGTGTGATTGTATTCGTTCGTTTGTTGCGTGTGTGTGTGTATATATATATATGTATGTAATTTCTTGACAATATTACCAGAAATCAACTCGAGTTTATATTCAAGCGTGTATTTCAAACGTTCACATATGAAGGTTGAACATTCATATTTCAAAACTTAAACATTCACACCTAAAAAAAATTACACATCAGTATAACTTTCGACAAAATAAAACCGAACCGCCTACCCCGCTGTCGATGGCAGAGACGGCTTGGACATCATTGAAACTGGCCTTCAAAAGTGCCTGCAGCTCTTCAGAGACATCGTTGGTGATCATGATCACGAGGTCTTGCTGGGTGTTGGTTTGCCGGAGGGTCTCGGCAAGCACCAGGGCCCCCACCGCATACACGTCATTCGTGGCCATTGTCACGTAGGCGTATTTGCTGCCCTTGCCTGGTTCGTTTTTTGCC